TTTTTTTTTTGGATTTGATTTGACGTCACTAAATCCTCCATAAGTGAATTAAAAATTCCCTGCTGTGTGCCTTCTGTACATTCCTCCCACTACAGACAATATGAATTTTAACTGCTTGGTAAAATTCTACTGTACCATGCTTGTGGTTTTTACAAAACCTACTGAAGTTATGAGGCATATCCTCCCAATGCTGAGAGACATAACTCTGTGACACAACAATGACCAATAATTGATGGATTTCCTCTTTGGGTTGAGGAGAGAGCTTTGATCTGCACATATAATGTATCATCTTCATCTATAAATAGGTTTGCAGTGATTTGATAAAATGTTGAAAAATATACAACCTGACTGAGTTAGGGTATTGTAAGTGTCAAAAACCGAACAATATTGTATTTTAATGTAAGGTTGGCAACCCTGTTTATGGGGTTAATCCATTAACAGGATTAGCTATTCCATCGGAGAAATGGGCCAAAGTTACTAATGTCTATGCAGTAGAGGTGGGTAAAAGTTACCAAGAAGGGGGCAGAAAAAAAATAATCTATGATCTGAATCACTAAAACAATTTTTGGATTAAGACAAATTGTTCACCCTCCCATTCCCATACCGGTATAACGCTAGCAAGATCACATAACTGGTGCCTATCTATAAAGGACAATGCGCAAAAACCATTCTTCCATGGATAAGTCTCCAGTCTGCCACAGAGACATTCACAACAAATAGCCGTTTGTAAGCATACTCACAACCTAGAGAGACATAATTAACATTATGTGCATTTTGAAAAGACTGCAACACAAAAAGGCTTCGACCAGTGCAGCAAGAAAGACGAATTAAAGAAGAACATGAAACACAAACGACAGAAAGACAATCGCAACATATAAACACAACAATCTACGAACAACGTGGAACCAAAAAGGGAGAGGCAGTTAAGTAGTCATTATCCAGCTGGAACGTTTAGAGTCCAGCATTTTACCCTGCCACATGTTGATATTCAAGGCAAGGTACTTAACCTCAAGCTGCCTACTAAACTGCATTCTAGGGTGCACTCCTGTGATTCAAACAAAATCACTTGGTATATGCCTGAAAAACTGGTTATAGAAGCTCAGTCTACTTATTGTTTGGGATCTGTGTAACACAAAAAAGGGAGAGAATGGGCCTCACTTTACCGTAGCTCATCCTTTAAGCACCAGACATTTACGGACTTACAGTGACCCTTTAAACTAAACTGAACAAAGCAATTTTAACTTGCACAACAATGATTTCCTTTTCACACTGGCACTGATAAGAGCCATTAGAGTCTCCTAAGTAGAGTTCTCTTAGGCTTTTTCAATTCTGTGGTTTATCAAAAAGTAGCCTTCCAGCCATAATTGCTGTAAAATGTTTAAAAGCATTTGCTGAAACACAGCTCTCCATGTACTGGCAGTAAATATCAACAAAGCAAAAGTTAATCTTCTTAAACCAGCAACCTCCGGTTTTAGAATCAACACATACACCAATGCTGTTGTTTACCTTTATGTCCTGGAAGGAATAAAATCACATTCTGCTACGTTTCCTTGTTTCATCTCTGCTGTTGGAAAGATAAAGCATTTGTAACTTTTTTGTGATGTTTAAGCGACTTACCTTGAACTTTTTATTGTTCTTTTAAAGTGTACATTAAGGAAAGTGCATTAAGAACCTCCTCTATACATTAAGAAACTCTTTGTTCTGCTATAAAAATGAGTTGAATAGGTGTTGGCGCATACAAAGTGGTAATTTGATTAATAATACATTGAAGCACATCTAAAATATGCATAACTTGTGACCGAGAGCTAGCCATCCTTATGATACATAAACACATAGTAGCCTCTGATTTTGAAATTGAAGGAAAAGTACACTTGGTCATGAAGTCTTTTGACAAATAAATCTGAAAAGTGTGGCATGTATTTGTTTTCTGCCTCTTTTATCACAACATGAATAATTTAGCCATCAGTAAAATCATTATTATTATGCCTCTTGTTATAATTTCTGCCCATATTTATATTTTGAAATGAATTTCAACTGTGCTGCTTATTCAGTATCAACTGATATAAACCAATTAGACCTGAGAAATATAATAAAATATACAACTGATGGTAAATCTCTGGAATTTTAATATCTGCAATAAAAATAATGTCCTTCATTAAACACATCTAAAAATATCGTAAACATTGTCATTTACCACAAACAAAAATAAGCTCATAACGGTGAAGGTCAAACACATTTTCAGTACTAAAATATAAAGTGTATCTCTACCTAACATATTTTGTAGGATTGACAGCTTTTTACTGAAAAACTATAATTAGATTTTTAGACTTTCCTTCATAGAAGCATACTGACATGTACAATCATATTTATAGATTGGCTAATATCTAATTATTGCTATATTCTGTCATGTTCTCATTCAACTTTCACCGTTGCTTCCGTCATCATCAACTCCCGTCTCCATATTTTGTCTAACCATGATAGAGAAAAATCAATGTAAATTCCATCATGATTATTTAAATAGTCAAAATCTCTTACAAAAGTACAAACAAAAGCTAAACCCTGTGGGTGTGTATCGATCCTAAATTCACATTCAGGAAATCTTGGAAATCAGTCTGACCTAACTCACACCTTCTCCCTTGTGACTTTTTGCCATTCTGTTTCTGGTTATAAAACTGTCTTGTCAGCTCAGTATAAAATTACCCCCCCCCCCCCCCCCCCCCCCTCCCCCTTATCTCACTGTAGCAGATTTGGTTGTGTGCAGTTTAGCCGGTGTAGTGTCTGCAGTGACTCATCAGTGCACCAAATGAAAAAAAAAAAATCTTCTCCCTGCATTATCTTTCTTCTCACTACACTTATGATCTATATAGCGATCTTTTCTCACAGCAAAGTCTGAGAAAACTAAGATCAGTGATCAAGGGGGGAAAAAAAATCTAACAAGAGTGTCCCTACAGCTTAAAACAGCTGTTTCAGGTTTGCTAAACTGGGTTTAAAAACAGACACTGGCAGAAAAGGGCACTTGTCAAACCAACAGTGAGAATTAATGTAGATTTCTAATTTTTCAAATAATAACTGACGTGAGTAATAGATGTCCATCCATCCTTTATCTGAACGTGTATCCTTGCAGGGTCTCAGGGTGGGGAGCTGGTGCCTATCTCCAGTAGCCATTGGGCAAGAGGCACACAACCATGCGCTAAGAGCAAACTAAAGTATTTAAATAAAAAATTAAAAAAATGTTTTTAGACTATAGGAAGAAGCTGAAGTACCCTGAGAGAGCACAAGGAGAGCAAGGCGACTTGCCTTATGTCATAAGGTTTCCTTTTCTGAATGCATAATATGTGTGCGTACTCCAGATGGGTTGTTTGGTCAGTGTCGGAGCTCCAAGCAGGACCAGATCCAGTACCAGGTGACAGTTCTTGTTCTAAAGAGGATGCAGGAAGTCCTCAAACAGCTCATGCTGCAAGGTAAGACAGATCAAAAAAAGCATCAATAGTTGGGGAATATTTAGAAAAGTACAACTGGTAAAAGTCAATTTTATGTTCAGTTAGGAGAGTAGTGTTTCATAAAGTCATCCCCCAATGTTTTTGAATGATGTTAGACATAAAACCTTTCATGATATAAAAAAATAATAAAAATTATATAAATAAACATAGAAATTTTCCGCTGACATGCATCCATTTTTCACACACCCTCCTAAAGCGGATCTTTTATGGTCCTGCTTAATTTTGGTGTGTTGTGTGTGCAGGTCTGTCATGGCAAGATGACATCACCCAGTACATTTTATCAAAAGAACTGAAGAGAGTTCCCCATACCACTGCTCTCTCAAAGCCGATCTCCTCTTCACCCTCTTCTCATTCATCTCAGTGAGCACTTGTACTCAGATGCTTGATGAACAAGCTACAGTCATGCAGAGCAATGCCCATGTAACTTTTTGCCTGTGTTTCTGGACTGTTTAACAGCTCAAAACAGCACATCTCCCACCAACCCAACTCTAAGTCAGGGTCCACATCTTCTGGTAGTAAATATGTGGACTACATGTATGTTGAGCCTCCTCAGTCCCCACTGCGTATGCAAACAGCACCGTTGGACCCATACGCGTATTACCAGGTATATAAGCACGCTTGATATAAACCTGCCGAAGTTGACTGGTTTAATTTGAAGTCATAGTTTCACAGCAGTCAAACATTTAAATCTAAACTCAAGCCAAGATCAATCCTCAATGGAGCTGATTCTAATTATAAGTAATAGTTTTTTTTTTAATCTTGATCAATCACAGCACAGATACCAAGACGATGTGGAGAGATCTCTTCTGAATGGAGGAGGCGGATATGTTCGCCCCTCTTCAAGGTCTCAGGGCAGCCAGAGGGAACAAGAGCGGGACCGGCAGCTACTGCAGGAAGTTCTGTCTCTATACCTGGCGTCTGCGCAGCCGTCTTATCGGCATAGAGGGTCTGCTCCCATACCTCCTGCAGGTAAATCCATATTCATCTTAGTTATTGTTTTATATTATTATCGCTTGGCTAGGTCCGAGAGATCTTGCATTCTTGACTTGGAAATTATGTTCATTGTATTATAAATCATTGATTTTGAAAAAAAAGAAAAAAAGAACATATTCACATAGCTCTAGTCTTGTTAGATATTTTGCAAAATAATATCAAAATATCCATATTATATCCATATGATTGTTGTTCGTACTATATTTAATATTAGTTTTTTTGAGAAGGCACTGTGAATATGTGCTACACGTTTCTGGGAACTTGTAAGTGCAGTCTATAGGTGAGTCATTTCGAACCGAGCAGGTGTGTCGTGTGTGTGCGTGTGGGTGTGTGTGTGTGTGGGGGAGAGAATAACTTTTTTTTTTTTTTTTTTTAGACTGAGTGCAAGCTTAGTAACTGTGCAATCGCTTAGCATCCACTAAAATCTAAACTCATTATGAAGGAACAATCAAATATATGTTTTATATATTAGATGTTAATTGATTTTAGTAACTCAATTTAAAAAGTGAAACACATCACTTAAGTCTTTATTTATTGTAATTATGATAATTTTATGCTTACGGTTAATGGAAATATGACGTTTTAAATCAGAATATCACATCAGAACAATATAAAGAAAAGCTTTTTGATTAAGAAATGTGGGTATAATGAAAAGCATGTTTGAAGATTGTTAATTATAAAACGCAAGGAGCCTCATCAGAATGCATAATCTCACTAATTTATTGAAAATTGCAGTACATTTATATTTTACTTAAGGATTTATTTTGTGATCTTTTAAATCTTCAGTAATAGTTATTTGCTTACTGAAAATGAACTACTGTGATTCCAGCCCTTTCAACATTTTAGGAGAGCAGTACTGTTTTTTTTTTACTTTTTATTATTACTTCTTAGGCCACTTTCATCTGGCATGAATTATTTAGACCTAAAGGAACCTTTTAACTCAAAATGATGAATCTGTTGTGAAGGCACAGGATTAAAAAAACGCTGGGGAAAAAAACAAGTTTTAGATTCAGTCTTTCTGTTTACAACAGCCAATCAGAAACAATATTTTCCTTTTTCTTTAGTTGAATCTGGAAAATTTTAAAGTCAGACAAGAGAGGAGTAAATTAGCACCAATAATTTACAGCACTATAGATTGATTAAATGAATTTAGTACATGCAGATCTTTTACAATTCTCATTTTTCCCTGTTTATTAGATATATGACTTTTAGAAAGTACGCTCACTCAGCTGTATAATTAGATATGGCACGTTTTTCTTTTGTGTTTCAAGTTCCTAGTTAATAGCCCTCTTCCAGTTTTTGTAAGACCAAATATGCAATTTAATGTCAGTCAAACTGTGTTTTGATTGGCATTTCTGTAAATACAAAACACTTAAAAGAATTTGGTTACTGTCAGCACACTGCAAGTGACAGCGTCAAACTAAAAACTTTGAATGGGTGTTTTATGACGCATTTCTTAAGTTCTATTTAAAGAATAACAGCTATTTGTTTTCTAGATGGAACAGCAGAAACATGTTCGTATTAAAATGGTCAGGTATAAAAACTGATCTATAATGAGGGGAAAAGCCTTTAAGCAATTAAAATCTAACAGATCATTACTGTAGGTAACACTGTTGTTGGTGGAATTATGTTATGATTGACTATTCATGCTAAAATATCAAATAAATCACAAATACACACAATTCATTCATGACAACTTTCTGTTTTTATGTGCAGGTTTGCCTTATTATGAAGATTTAGAGATACCAGTGGACTATGTGGAAGACTACACTCTAGAGGAGAGGCTTGGTACTGCAGGAAGACAACCAAACATTCAGAATAAGAAAGCTCCGCAGGAGTCTGCTCCCCTGGTTGCAAATAATGGTGAACAAAAGGGCTTACAATTGCAGATTTTTTTTATTATTTTTTTTTTTGTAGTGTAATACCTCTAAGTAAAATCTAGCACAGTCTGCTTGCTAGCTATGTAAATGCACTGCTCTTCCATGCTAGATGGCTTGCTCCAGAGGATGTCAGGTGTCTTGCAGAAGTACAACATTGATCCCAGGGAACTCAGTCAGGAGCAACTCTACAAGCTGGCTCTCATACTGCAGCTGCTGCAAGGGCAGGACAAGACAGGTACAGCATGAAATATTTACTGTACTTCTCTCGAGTTCTGCTCCTCTTTTAAAATAAAGTAAAAGGTTCATTTTTGGGAGGCAAGCTGTATCGTGTTTTAATGAGTTAGTCTGAAACTGAGCTTTGTCTCTCTAAAAACAGACCCAAATGAGAAGGATCTCATCGCTCTTAAAGAGGTATGTCAACCGTCATATTTAGCTGTTTAGCAGTAATCGGAACATGTTATCATAAACCTTTTACACTGTTCAGCTAGATAGACTATCTGGTCTGATAGACTGGTCTCCTATCGCCTTTTTAGATGCAGTTGTTACAAAAAGAAAGTGTGTCCAAACCAGATAAGGCTGCTCCTGTTCCTGGTCCACGTGATGCTCCTGCTGCCTCCTCTGCTATAGTCCCTGATAAAGCTCTACCTAAGAGTCCCAGCATCCCCACATCTGCCTCCAAGCCTCCACAGGCTGCTCCTGCTGAAGTTGAGAAAAGCTTTAAAGAGCCCTTAGTAGAGGGTATGGAAGGCAAAGAGCAGTATGGGTACATTGTCACCAACCAAAGGTCAGCATTTGGGTTTATATCAATGTACACTTATTATTTATAATCATTTGTAGAACAAAATGGAGAACAGCTAATGCGTTAAACAAGAATACGGTACTTTAACTGGGAACTCTTTTTTTTTTTTCTGCAGTCCCCTTAGTCTGTATGATGGAGTGAAGCTTTTGCAACTTCTGGCTGAAAAAATACACCTGACAACCAGCAGCTTCATCAACATTAGGTAAGGGTGAAACAGAGTCACCATGCCAGAGGGCAACTATGTTACTTTTTCATGAGACTTCAACATGCATGCTGTTTTTTTTTGGGTTGGGGGGGCTGTTGTGCGTCACCAGTGTGGTGGGTCAGGCGCTGACTTTCCGCATCCGCCAGAATGAACACAACATGACGGCTGCAGAGGTGGCTGCCAAAGCCGGTGAGATGCACACATTCTCTCTAACACTTATGATGCATAGCCACACATACACATGGGCATTGTGCGTGGTGGGCACTTTATTCAGTCACATTTGCAGTTTTGTACTTTTCTCCAGTCTTGTTTTTGTTTTGTTTTTTGTTTGAGATGCTTTTTCCACCTCAACAGAATCTGAGAAGAACTTTCTGGAGTCTGAGACTGGCCTGAAAATCATCCAGACTGGTGTAGGAGAGGTAATTCAAACAGATGGTTAAAGAGACTGACAGAAAGTCAAACTACTTTTGACTGTTTGTTATTTTGATTCATCTATTCATTTATTTTTGTGATCACTTTAATTATTTCTAGCTATTAATGCAAAAAAAAAAAAAAAGTAAGGTCTGGCAACCCCTTTGTGTATCCACTTAGACTTTGTACACAAGCTGCATCTTATAACTCGTTTTTGTAAGTGGAGACCCAAGTTTCATTAGAGCGGAAGGTGAAATATAATAACACAATTTAAACCAATTGTCTACCTGATTTGCCTATTGTTGTACAAAATGGTAGGACTGCATCACAGAAAGCAAAAAAAAAGTGTTTATTTTAATGAGCAGGTTAAGAACTTTTCAGTGTCGCTGAGGAAGTGACTTTAAACTTAGGAATTAATAGCCATAGCAACCGTGCCACGATGACTCATACACTGCCACTGTTTGTAGGAAGTAAAAGTCTGTGAAAGGCGAAAGCAGCATCACCCTGTTATTAACAAGAACAACTGTGATTGTGGGGATTGAATTTGGAAAGCATCAGCTCCTTCCTTGAAAAGTATTCCACGTGCATTGTATACCTTAATATACATTAGGTTACATTAAGATACATAAAACATTCAATCTCAAAAATGATCTAAACCAATCTGAAAGCATGGTTTTATCTTCCTTTCTAGAAAGCTTTGCATATTGAAATAAAAAGAAGGCCAAGATTATTTATTCCCTGCATTCAAAATTCATTAAAAATCAGCACAATATTTGACGCAGGTTGCAAATGTAAATAATAACAGATAGAAGACAATTAATCTAATCAAGAATCAAATGTGATAAGAATCAAGCAATAATTAACCACTACGAAGAAAGAAGAGAAAGCGCGAAACAAATGTTTGCAGCAAATCAAAACAAAAATACTTCTAATCCATACACTACTCTTAGTTTGAAAGTGAGACAGTGTGCTTTGCATGAGGTTCGACCTTCTGTTTTAACTCTTTTTGTCAGGTGTCTTTCATGACAGTTAAATCTTAGGACTGAAATTATAATACATATTTTTGATTTAGGAACCTAGTATCAATTTTGATTGCTTAAAGCCATATTATTTAGTTCTCAACTAAACCTTGCTACACAACAAACACCAGCAGTGCATGTATTTTACCTTCAAGGACTGTTTTCCATCCCCCACTACCTTTAAAGCTGTAATGCTGTGAGTCATTTTTTTTTTCTCCTGTGTGTGTGTGTGTGCATAAATCTGCAGCCAGAGCTAGTAAGTCAAGCGACACTTTCAGAAAGCCAGTATTTCACTTGTTGCCATGGCATTTAAACTCCTCCACCTCCCACCCCTTACTCCCAGATCCCAGGTGCTATGGCAACTGTCATACAAGCATCGGTGACCTCAGTATCTGCCATTCACACAATGAGCGTCCTCCACATCTCCTACTTTTTGCATGAAAAATTAATGACAAATTAAGCATTGATGATTTGCAAAACAAGATAAGCTACTTTTCCTGCCATATTATGTATTTCATATTTTAAATCAATTTTTGCTAAAAGTAAAGTTATAAATAAGAAAAGCACTGATAATATTAAGAAAGGCGTTTTTATTCACGTTTTATATGCAACTAATCTATCGAAATTAAGCTCGACCGCAGATTTTCTTAATGCAGATTGCACGTCAAATTAATTTTAAGTCTTTTGCATTACTTTGGAAAATTATGTTTTTTTTCATTGAGATTAATAATTTGTACATAAATGTAAAATCACAGGATTTTAAAACTGTAACTGTTCCTTCTGCCTATGTAGGTTGCATATTACAAACTGTTTTACAAACAGGTGGGATGGCATTGCTTGGATAGCGTTGATGTGCGGAGCGACCCGTGGGATGGTTGGTTGGTCTTTATGGAGACGTCAGCTGTCTTTTTACTAGATTTATAGAGCACAGCACTCTGACCTTTCAGACATCTGTCGGTGAAACTCAACCTCGTTGCTCGATGAGCACACACAGCTGCCTTGTGCTGTTACAGAGAATCAAATCAATTGTGGAAACATTAGGCGACCTTTAAGTCAGAGTCATGACATAGCACAGATTCTGAAGCAGCTTGACAACTGAAGTTCAAGACAAGAAATGCAGTAACACTTATTTGATAATACTAAGTTTTCTTTAAAGTTGTACACTCTAATTTTTGCTACTTCTTTTTCTTTCTTTTTTTTTTCTTTTTTTTTCCCAGAGAACAAATGCACGAGGTCTCCCTCAGGTAATTAGGATCCCTCCAGGATCCAGTGGTACAGTCATCACCCTCGTTTCCATGGCAGTGGTCGGAGGTGTGCTCGTACTGGCAATGGGCATAGCTTGTTTCAGGCACTATGGCCATCAAGTAGCCAATGGTAAACTCGGCTTGGGGCCAGAAGGAGGAGCAGAAACACACTTTGACTACCAGGTGAGACTACAGAGAAAGTGTAAACCTAGCAGGGGTATTTTACAAATTTAAAATAGAGCATAGTAAAT